AAAAGAATATTTATAATAAAATATGAAATGGTTGGATAAATTGTATATTATCGCTATTAATATTATATTCATAAATACTTTTAAATTTAATTAGATGAACTCTAAGTATTTTATATTAATTTAAATACGATAATACACAATTGAAACTTTCAGATTATATTAACTAGATAGTTCATAAAAATAAAATTTTCTTTTAAAATATTAACTAGATAGTTTAAATTGGTCCTTTGACTTTTAATTTCACCTAAAGTAGTCATCTGACTATAGTAAAACACTGAATTACCAATTTTACCCCTCATTTAAGCACCCACTTAACACCAAAACTAACAGAGGGTCATTTTGACTTAAAATTCAATAGTCGGAGGACCACCTTAGGTGCAATTAAAAGTCAAAGAACCAATTTGAAAAAATGTCATAGTCGGAGGATCATTTTGAGAATTAAGTCAATCCATAATATATAGTCGAGTGTTTAATTCAAAATTCTAATAGTTACAATTAAGTTATAAGTGTAATAGCTACACCATTTTCAAAATTTTCTAATCACGTGGTTCATTTGATGAGGCCATTAAATTTGTGTAACTTCAATTACAATTAAGTTATACTTGTAATAGTTACATTATTTTCAAAAAATTTTAAACACGTAATTAAATTGAGGCCATCAAATATATTAGCTTGAGAATTTATTTTGGATTATTGGAATATAATGTTTGTGTCATCTAACCTTTGTGCATACTATATGTAAACTGATATAATTTAAACCTTTGTTTTGACCTAAAATTATTAACTTCAACTTGTAACCCATTTTTCAAAAAGAAGTATTTACTTCAAGAAAGTGTATATTTTGCCCTCAAATAGTATAATACTATCAAAAGCATCAAATTTTAATTTGATTGGTTGGTGGTCCTTTTCTCCTATGTCATAAATCAGTTATGAAATTGTAAAAGATACAATTTAGTTCATTAACTGTTTAACTCAATCAAATTTAATCTAAAACATTCAAAATATTTTTACAGTTTTTTGAATATTTTATTAAATTTAAAATTTTTACAAGTGAGGGAATTGTCAACTGAGTTTTGTTGAAAGACTAAATTTGATAAAATTAAATAACACTTACGGGTTACAAACTATAAGTAAAAATACCACTATAGTTAATTAGTTGAAAAATCAACCATGGTCGTATTAAGGGAAAATGACACTTTTTACCCCTGAATTATATACTTATAGCACTTTTCCTCCCTCAATTATTTAGGTAAACACATTAGCCCCTTCAATTATTATAAAAGTGGTGCTTTTTCCTCCCTGATATATTAAATTGACATTTATACCCTTAAAGTAAACATTTTATTTATTTTACTACTCCAACAAATTATTGCGTATACGTAGGGATGACCACAGTTCGGTTTGAATTGAACCGGATACTAAAGCAATCGAATTAATAGTTTCCCGGTTATAATTCAGATCTAGAACCCAATATTTAAATGTCAATTTATTAAAATTATGTATCAAAAAAATTGAATCTTGAACCGTGAACCGGCGATTCCGGATCCGATTCGCGATTTTGAACCGTCTTTATTTTAAAATAGTCTAAATTCAACAATAAATGTATTTTATTTTTTCAGTTCGGAACATGAACCGTCCGTTCCGGTTCATGATTTTACTAAACTCTAAATATCGAATTTCGATTCTAAATTGTAATTGAAATATTTCGGTTTGGTTGCTATAGTGTTTGTTTGGTTTGAACCAAATTATGGTCATAATTTGTTAGAGAAAAAAAAATTAAATATTTAATTTAAGGGTAAATATGTCCATTTAACATTTCAGGGGAAAAAACAGCCACTTCAATAAGTTAGGAGGAAAAAATGCTATAGGTATATAACTCAGGGGGGAAAAAGTGCCATTTTCCCTCGTATTAATTAAAATGAAACCTAGCCTATTGAAAAATTAGCATTAAAATGGCACATGAGGTGATAATTTTGAAGTATTATTCTCAATTCTCAATTTGGATTGAGTCAAAGTCAATTTGAATTTTCTTAAGTGAGAAGATAAATTTAGTATATTTTTACATTTAATAAAATGAATAATGGGTGATGATAGGGTTGGGGTTCAACCTTTTGGATAATGGGTGATGACAAATTGATTCATAAAACATGCCTACCCATATATAGTTAGGAAAATTGAGCATGGAAAGTTTAGAAAGAGCATTTGTCTCACACCTAAAATAAATATAGCTAGGTTTGGATCGGACTATTATACATATATTTTCACCATTTTGAAGCTGTGAAGTATATTGCTAAAAGGGGAAATAAGGGATTTGCCTCAAATGCACAGTCAAATTTATACCTCCTTTTTTTGGAGATAAATTGCAGGATCACTACTATAAATAAGACCTTTAACGTCGGTTTTTCTTCGATCACGTCGTTCTTTTAGACGTAGTACATAAAAGATACGACGTCAGATAAAAAATCGATGTCGTAAATTTTTTTTTTTAAAAATTTTAAAAATACACATACGGATTCGGGTTTTAGTAAAAAAAAAAAATCGATGTCGTATTAATTTTTTTTTTAAAAATAATTTACTTACGAGGTCGATTTTTTCGAAGTCATACTTTTCTTTTTTGATCATTGGAAGATTCAAACGATTCACTATACAATTGCTAGCTAGTAAAATAAAATTTATGAACTTATTTTGATTTGGTTAATCATTTGAGTTGTTCTTTGAGCTATTAAAAAAAAAAAAATTTATCTTATAGTTATCCGATTAGGAGGTCATTTTCATATTGGAAAAAAAAAAATAAAAATAAATGAAGTTGAAAAGGGCTCACTTGCTTCTTTGAGTTTCTTTTCACTTATCCAGTCTTCTTTTGCAACTTTACTTTGACAACAACACATATTTTTGTCTCGATTGGGGTATAAGTCTAAAATCAAGAAAATTGTGGTCGAAACCCCATGTGGAGTTGCATGTGAGCCACGGTTGGTCGAAACCCCATAATAATGTTGTTGTGTGTGTAGATTGTAGAAGTGCCTTGTCCCACAAGTAAATATTTCTAATAAAGTCCTAGACATTAGACAAAACTCACTAGTGAATTGAAAGTGAGATTTGGATAAGAAGAAGAAGAAGAAATGGAAAAGGTTAGAGATTAGGCAAAAATCACAAATAGTAAATTCCTTTTGTTTTACTTTTAGGAAATTAAGGATGAGAAATAAATTTTAAATTGTTTGGGTAGACATTGATAAAAAAAATAGATATCGTATTTAATTAATTTCGACTTATTTGACAACTGTTAGCTATTTGACTTGGTTAAACAATCAATATGAATGTTTGAATAATTAACGTGTTGTAACAAATTATTGCTTCAAAATGTTAACATTTTAAAAGCTGTTCAAATTAGCTTTTTCGATTAACTTTTTGAGAAAGTTATTTTGTATGTAATCAGCTAAGAGCTAAAAGCTAATTTACCAAACACTTTTCTACAATCAGCTAATGTTATCAACTAGTCAAACCCACTAATCGAATAAGCTAACAGCTATCAACTAGCCGCCATTTGCCAAACACCCCGTAGTCTTCTCTTTTATGGACCTCAAAATTTAATTAACTCTTTTTTCAAGATAATGATATAGGTTATGTATTATAAGATATTTCCAAATAATAAATATCTTTAAAGAGAACAAACTTTTAATTACAAATTTTATCGTCAAACACTACTGAAAATTATGGAATTTTCGACCACCTGAAAATAATCTTAAATCAAGTAAAAAGTCTTGTTCCGACCACTTTTGGTATTCGGAAAAACCTTTGTTGCTATTTCCGATCACTTTTTACTTTTGATTTGATATAAAATCACTTTCAGGTGGTCGGAAATTCCATAATTTCCAGCAGTGAAACTTAAATTCAATGAAATTTTATATTCACAAATTAAAGAAATTATTTATTTTCTTTTTAAAAAGAGCTTATTGATATGAATATATGATCACGCTCACTTGTATGTAGCTTGTTCTTAAGAAAATAGTAGAATAGTCCCGCAAGTAAATGTTTCTATTAAAGTTTATAAATTTGATGAAACTCACAAATGAAAGTGAAATTTAAATGAAAAGAGAAAATGGACGCTATTGACTGTTAATTTAGAAATTTTGATTGTTTAATATGAACAGATGAAGGTTTCTAGACATCAATACATATAAATTACAATTTTAGTCTCAAATTTGATTGCCAATCAATGAATTTAATTTGTTATTAGAGGACTGCATTAAAAAAATTATCAATAGTTAAAAACAAAAGAGATATTAACACAAAATGATTCATTTGTTGAATTGCAAGTTTGTCTGCAGGCCTTTAGCTCGTGAAGAACAATAACGAAGAGTAATAAGAGCATGAAGAAGAAGAATAAAGAACATAGAAAAGAAATTCTTATTATTATCATCCCTTTGTACAACATTAGGAATCCTACACTATTAAGAATCCTATCATCAATATAAAACTAGAATAATGTCCATATAAGGTTTTACAACACTCCCCCTCGGACATTATTTTGACATGATCTTTCCTCATAAAAATTTGCTAGGAAAACCCTATGGAAAAAACCTAGACAAAAGGAGTACATACATATTCACGCCTCGTTAAACACTTCACTAGGAAAACCACGTGAGAAAAACCTAGTTGAAGAAAAAAGTACATGATATTTGTAACAACATATATTGTACTGATTGCCTCATTAAAAACATTAACGTAAGAAAATCGTGTGGAAAAAACTTAGTTAAGGGAAAAAGAGTACAACCATAAGCCTTCAAGCTATGCATAATCGGAATAATCTTCAGGATTTTGGGGTTTGTCTACTTAAGCAATTATTTTGCAACTTTTCCTCATTTACATTACTATATCATATCCATGCCTCGTTAAAAACTTCACTAGAAAAATCCAGTGGGAAAAGATTAGTTGAGGAAAAGAGTGCATGAAGTATGTGTATTCTTGTTTTAGATTAGTTGCCTCATTAAAAACCTTAGATTTAAGGAAAAACCCTGTGGGGAAAAAAAACTTAACTAAGGAAAAGAATACAACCGTTAGTCGTCAAGACCCAATCTTCAGGATTGATTCATGTAAAATGATACTCCCCTCAAGATAACAATAGTTAAGTCCCATACATTAAAATTTCCAAAATGTATAGAGGACTTTTGTAAATAAATATGTAAAACTATCAATGGAATGAATATACTCTATAATAATCTTGTGACTCTTCTAGAGTTCACGTGGGTATAATATTGACATCATAATATCTAGTCAAAGAGATTTCATTATATATCCTTTAATCATTTGTGCAACTCAATCTTTATTCTCCCTTTATAGGACAATGGGGGTAAATATAGTACAACCAATTTTGGAACTTGGCATTATGGGGACACAAGAATAATAGCCAGTACCCAAATAGCCATTATATATTGGATTGTCTAAGGGTCCAATCAAAATCATATATTGGCTAACTAGTGTATAAAAATTCTTTAAGGAAAAACTCAATCTTCAAGTCGAGATAATACTTAGCTTTCACAAGCTTTTTATTTCAAAATCTCCATCTTTAGACATGGACTGACATCATCAAGCTCTTTATATATTTCATTGATGTTTACACCATTAATATTGACTGAGATAATAAATAATAAATAAGTTCATTATTAACTCTTTATTGAGCACATAATGATACATATTGTTCGTTCTTCATGAGGATAATAACTCCATTCGCAACTCTTTAAAGAGTACATAATGACGCATAATAAGTACATATTCCTTTTTCAAGAGGAAAAATTACTCAGTCAATTATTAACCTTTCAGGTCATATAAAGACCTTAATACTTTTAATATTGCGATTTTTTCGCTTTTTCTAATTTTGAGAACTTAAAATCCTTAGGGACTTTTGAAAAATTAATATTAGTTGCATATCTAAATTTATTATTCTGCTAATAATATTATGTAGCGGAACTTAATGTCATTTATCGTGGGAGATCAGAGTATATTTGATTAGAATCAATCAAGGGTCTCTGCGTGAACCCATAGGCTACAAACTCGCTTCATATTCTATCACCTCGTTATTCTTATTTCTCTTTCATGCACACACCCATTTGTAAACCTTCAGGGATAACGCTCAATGGTGTATTGTTATAAAAAGAATTATACATTTTAGCGAGTCGAGCTATGCTTTAATTACTCCTTTATACGTTAAATAGTCATGGCACTTCCGGTGCCTAACTCTGGATCCAGATTATCATATAACGGAGCAATTTGTAAAGTCAATTGTGTTGTAGACAACTATAATACTTTCATAAATCTCTCCCATATTTATAATTGTTTATGACAATATTTGAGTCTACTAGATTCTATACATTTTCCAGAACTATTTAGATCACATCTGGTTGTCCCGCATCCCTAGTATTTTGTTTATTTGGTGCACTTATGAATTGACTAGGGTTTCTCGTCATCTGGACGAGCGTCTCCAGGACTAAATTTTCCAAGAGTGACAATATTTATTTACTGGATCTAGTATAATGATTCTTATCTCTTACACCGATGGATCTCCTATACTTTTGGCGTCAAGGAGTATCGGTCGATTTATTTGGTCCAAGTTGGAAAAGGTACATGAGACCTAGTCACTCTTTTATGATTAGTATGATTAATAGATGTAGTAATTGGCAGATTATTTGCTAATATCGCAAATAGATTATCTTCTGAACTTCCTGTTCAGTTTAACTAGTACATGGATTTAAATAATGAAGATATTTTCATTCTATGAAATTTCATGTCATTCTATTGAATTTGAACTCCTATCTCCCCCTAATGCCGAGAAGCGATCTTCATTAATTAAGTATGCAGTCAGCGTACCTAAGGATATGTATTGGTCTCCTATCATGTGCTCTTGGAATTAATTAATCAAGAGACAGAGGCTTCTTTGGTAGCTTTTTTAGAGGTACGCTGTGGTGGTGATATATTGAAATAGATTGCGCACTATAAATAATAACACAGATAGGGAAATGTTTATTTTGAAATCATGTACTAGGCATAAAAATCGTAACAATCCTTGAGGGATTGATTTGTGATATGCAGTGAGTTAGATTTGGATTTAAAACAAAAGTATATCTCCAAGACAGATAATTCAATAATTTCCCCTTCACACATGCTCTATAAAATACTCATGTGGATAAGAAATTCTAATATCTAACTCATTATGTTTGCCCTAAGTGACCCAATTGCTCATGTCATAATTAAAAAAATGGGTCACTAAAATGTAAAGATTATCGCAACATTATAAAACTCGAATAACCACAGCTAGTAAATCGCTAATGCTCGAAGGACTATTGGAGGTATTAACTCTTGTATTTATATTTTAATAAAATTACATCTACTTAATATCATAACATTAAAACAATACTTCTAAAATTGTATCCGTGCATCGCAAGGGAAAAATACTAGTTTTCCAAAATTCGCTTAGAATTCTCGACGCGTCCAGTTTTCAGCATCAATCTTCACATTGCTTCTGGAAAGTTCCGACGTGTAGAGTTTTTTGCTGCATCATATGTTGTATCACTTCAAGTCTTCTTTCCAATGGCATAGGAATCACCTGAAACGGACATTCCTAGCATGAGATATGATCAAAGTACTAAGGTGTCGCCAAATTTAGCGTGAATTACAACTCTTTGGTCTTTTGCTCCACTTTTCCCTTGTTTTGTTCTTGTGATCAATCCATTGAAAGTATCACTCTTTGGCTCTATTTGAAGCATTTTAGCCACCTCCTTAGCTTCACATTGATTCCCATTGACTCGAAATTCACTCAAAATGCCCCGAAAAGCATACGATTGTCTTCAAATCAACAATTTATGCACCTAGGGATATAAACAAATGAATTAAGGCACATTTTGCATAAAACCAAAGTATATTTCACTCAAAATAGGTCTATATATGGGGTAGAATCAGGGACATAAGCACAATTATCATTCGTTTCGTGCCCGGTCACTTAATCTCTTTGGTCAACTTCAGTCTCTCGGGCAGGGTGACTCCTCTATTGCTGATTATATTGGCCGTGCACGTGTTGTTGCAAAAGACCTAACCCTGGCCAGTCGACCGGTTGGTTTGGACGAGATGAACTTGTATGTGCTTTGTGGGTTACGGCCCGAGTATCAAAACCTAACTGCATCACTTTCAGTTCGTGGACAGCCCGTCACTCTTACAGAGCTCGCAGACTTTCTCGGGGCTAAGGAATTCATTTGAGGAACCACCAATGACCAATGTTGCAAAAATCGCGCCGCCCGGCCGTGGCGAGGAAGGCCGGAATCGGTCTCCTCTGTGGCCGGCCGACTAGGCGGCGCCTAGACCGCCTAGTCGTTCGATCCGTCTATTTTTTTAAAAAAATTTTTGGGAAGGATCAGAAGTAGTCTCCGCCGCGACCAAGCTCCGCCATGACCAGGTTCCGCCGCGACCAGGCTCCGCTCGCTAAGAATCAAACCTCTGTCTGTTGCCGCCGGTTGCCAAAGGTTGAGAACTGTTGAGATACTTTGTATCTTCTTTGAAATTGAAATAAAATTAAAGATGGAGATAGAATAGATGGGTGAGAACATATATTTCAGACTTTTTACTTCCCAAAAAACCATGAGATACTAAAATGTTTTTTTAGTATCTCAAGGTTTTTTTGGGAACAGCTCCACGCAAAGGCCAAAGCTAGTAAAAACTTTTGGGAACAGCTCTACCAAAGACTAAATTTAACTTTAAAAAAAATAAAAATAAATCGGGCACCTAGGCGCCGAAAAATCGGCGCCTACCGTATTTTGCAACATTGCTAATGACGGAGCGCTAGCCGCCTTCAATGCCTAGCGTGGCGGGTAAAATCACCATGGCGGTCGCGACAACAATCGGGGTGGCGGTTGTCAAGCCCAGAGCCTTTGCACAGGGCCCCCAATTTTTGGGGGCCCTATATTTAAAAAAAAAATTATGTATATAAGTGGTATTACTGCCTTTCCGCAAATTATGCTGTGCAACCGAATGCACCTTGCAAGGTGCATACGGTTGCAAAATGGCGCCGTTTTGGTTAAAAAAACGCGTGTCTCACTTAAAGAAGAAATCAGGTTCGATTCCCGGCAATAGCATTTTTATATATCCAGAAATTCATAACTATATAACCACAATTTCATAACTATATATCCACAATTTCATAACTATATATCCACAGTGAATGAATGAAGTAAAAATCCACAATGAATGAATGAATGAAGTAAAAATTCACAATGAATGAATGAATGAAGTAAAAATCCACAATGAATGAACTAAATATCCACAATATATGATTGAACTAAATATCCACAATGAATGAACTAAATATCCATAAATTCATAACTATATAACCACAATTTCATAACTATATATCCACAATTTCATAACTATATATCCACAGTGAATGAATGAAGTAAAAATCCACAATGAATGAATGAATGAAGTAAAAATCCACAATAAATGAATGAATGAAGTAAAAATCCACAATGAATGAACTAAATATCCACAATATATGATTGAACTAAATATCCACAATGAATGAACTAAATATCCATAAATTCATAACTATATAACCACAATTTCATAACTATATATCCACAATTTCATAACTATATATCCACAATAATGCTATTGCTAAGAGTCGAACCTGATTTTTTTTTTTAAAGTGGAACGCGCGTTTTTAATCAAAACGACATCGTTTTAAACCGTATGCACCATGCGCATGGTACATTCGGTTGCACAGCATAACTATTGCTGCCTTTCGCAACCCTTTCCTTCTGCTCTTTATGTGTTTCCTTCGACATTACCGATTTACCGCCATTACGCACCCCTATGGAATTAGTTTTTGTCGTATGTTATGCCATTAATTATGTATTTATGTATATAGTATATTACTATTACTATATTACCTTGAGTTCATTACCTATGGCATTAATTATGTATTTATGTATACAATATATTACTCCGTACTATTTTAGCTTGAGTTCATTACCAAAATCGTTGAATAATGCTTATTTACACAAATCCCACAAAACAGATCACAGACGATTGAGACGAGAGATGCAGTTTGATAGAATTGAAGAATTCTTTTTATCATATAAAGTCACAAATTCTCAACTTCTTCAATTCTCTTAACAGGTAATTAAAATTACTAAATATTTCACAATTCTTATTTATTATTTTATTTAGGGAAAATGGTCAAATAGGCTCTCGAACTTTAACTTAAAAGTCAATTAGGCCCCTAAATTTTTTAAAGGTGCAATTACACCCATCAACAATTCATTTAGGTGCAATGAAGCCCAAAAACAAGTTAATGACCTGCTATCACAGGTCATTAGGGTTCAGGCCACCTTCCCGCGAAATTTTCGGCAAAAAAAAAAAGTAACCGGCAAAATTTCCGGCAAAAAAGTGACCGGCGGCGACCGTCGGTCTCCGGTCACTTTTTTTTTTTTTTTTTTTTTTTTTTTGCCAGAAGATGGCCTGAACCCTAATGACATGTGATAGCAGGTCATTAACTTGTTTTTGGGCTTCATTGCACCTAAATGAATTGTTGATGGGTGTAATTGCACCTTTAAAAAGTTTAGGGGTCTAATTGACTTTTAAGCTAAAGTTCGAGGGCCTATTTGTCCCTTTTCCCTTTTATTTACCTGACTTAATAATTTTAATTTTAGAATAATTTATTCAAGAATTTATTTTTTATTAATTATGTGTTCATAGAGTTTCTAACTAAATTCTTATTTTTTCTTTAGATTTTTATAACTATGTCTTCAAGAAAATATTCATTTGGATTTAAGAAGCGTAAAAAGAAAAAGAAGAATTGAACAACTGATTAACTCAATCTCAAAAGAGAGTTCTTAAAAAATTCATTACAAAGCTAATATTCATATAGAAGATCAAGATGATTGTGAGATTAGAAAAAATTCAAATAATAGTGTGCACAATGATGATAGGTATCATTGTGACAATGAAAAATAATAAGAATGTTGATAGTGTTTAGATGATGTTGGTCACAATGACAAACCAAATGATTGTGAGATTGAAAAAAAATTTAAATGATAGTATGCACAACGATGATAAGTATCATTGTGACAATGAAAATAATAAGAATGCTTATAGTTGTTTAGATGATGTTGGTCACAATGATAAACCAAGTTTGGTGGATGATTTTGCGTCTAATTGTGCACAACACATGTCACTTTTTAAATGAAATTTTAAATGTATTTTTTACAATATTTATATTTTGAATTTTTTACACAACTTTTTAAATAACTATTATTTATATATACAATTTTTTTAAGGGCCCAATTTAAGATATTGCACAGGATCCCATTTTTTTATTGGAACGGTCCTGGTCAAGCCCAAGGTGGCGGCAGCCGATTGCAAGGAAGACGTGGTGGACGTAGCCCCGGTGGTAACAATGGTGGTCAAAATAAGTGTCAGATTTGTGGGCGCAATGGTCACACGGCTCTTGCATGTTACAACCGTTTTGATAATCAAAGATATCCTCCTCCTCAAGCCAATCTGACATACCAAGATAATGGTTCAGACACTAGTGGTTCTTAGGTATGGATTCCAGACACGGGAGCAACCAATCATGTGACCCCAGACATCGCAGCCATGTCCACGTCTGAGGAGTATGTTGGTAATGACACGTTGTGTGTTGGTGATGGTAAGGGTTTATCAATTAGTCATGTTGGTCATGCTTCCTTTAATACCCCATCTAGGTCTTTTCAATTATCAAATATCCTTCATGTTCTCAGTTTGTCTACATTTTTATTATCCTTTCAAAAATTTGCTTCAGATAATAAGGTGTTTTTTTAGATTCACCCCTCTTTTTTTGTTGTGAAGGATATCAATTCCAAGGAAATTCTTCTACAGGGCGATAGCTTTGGGGGTCTATACAGGCTTCCTATCACTAGTTTGTCTCCTTCAGCTTTTCTTTATGCTCGTGCATCCGAGTTAGTGTGGCATGATCGCCTAGGACATCCACATATCGAGTCTTACATCGTATTCTTCAATCTTGTTCGGTTAGTGTGTCTAGTAATTCTATTCGTTGTAATTCGGGTTTATGTAATGCGTGTCAGTTAGAGAAATCTACCTGATTCCCATTGCCACATGTTGAGTCATCTAGTTCCAATATTCTGGATTTAATATACACAGATATTTGGGGTCCAACTCCTTTGTTATCCACTGATGGCTATCGTTATTTTGTTATTTTTGTGGATGATCACTCCCGTTACACTTGGTATTATCCCATGAAATTAAAATATGATATTTATGCCATCTTTGAAAAATTCCGTACTATGGTTGAGCGTTCCTTCAATAGAAAAATTAAATCCATTCAATCTGACCTAGGAGCTAAATACAAAAAATTGCACCATTGCTTTGTTCAGTTAGGAATCACTCATAGACAGTCTTGTGCCTACACTCATGAACAAAATGGTCGTGTAGAAAGAAAACATAGACACATAGTTGAAACAGGTCTAACCCTCATGGCTCGTGCCTGTGTTCTATATAAGTTCTGGGATTTTGCTTCTGAAACTGCTATGTATTTAATTAACAAGATGTCATCTACTATGTTAAATAACTCCAGTCCTCACTTACTCCTGCATAAATCCCCTCCATCCTATTATTTTCTTCGTGTCTTCGGGTGTCTATGTTATCCCTATTTATAGTCGTATAATCGTCATAAAATGTCCTACAAGTCTTCCGGGGTTATAGTTGCATTGATTTACAAACTAATAAGGTTTATCATCTATGTGTGCAGACATGTGCGGTTTGATGAGGTTATTTTTCCCTTTGCAACTAAGATTGTTTTGCAGACACCAGATGTAACACCCTCTTTTTCTAAAATTTAGGGCCTAGATTTAAGCAGTCTAAAAAGACAAAAACAAGGAAATAACGATAAACTAGGATATATATAAATCTCAAATCTACAACTAAAGAGAGTGTCGCCGCCATAGTTACCCACCCTTGAGTAACTGCACATGCTAAAGCTACTAACATACTAGAGTCACAGCTCAATACATCAACAGTAAGGGGTATGCGAACCTCGGTGTCTACGCACCAACCATAAGTAGGTAGTCGAGCTACATCAGTATCTAACATCAAACACCAAAAGGGGAAAGAAGGATAACTAAGGCTAGCATCTACTAAGCCCTAGAGCTACACACTACTACCATAAATGTGCGCTCTCGTCATGCATCAAGTTCACCTGAAAGGGGTTATAAAAACACATAGGAAAATAAACCTGTTAGCATAAAAATGCTAAGTATAAAACCACTCAACCCCGTAACATAAATATAGATATAGATTTGGAAAAAGGTTGACAAACAAGTACTTAACAAGTATACACATAGACAACGTGGTAATCAGATAATAAATCCTAAGTAAGGATACAATATATATAAGCATGTATACTCATCAACATCTGCAATATCAACATACATCTAAGATAGACAATATGCAAGAGATATAAGTGTCAAGCAATACCATACTATCATGCTAGTACTCACAAGCAATAAAACATACTTTACTTCTCATATACTCATCACAAGGCATATGCTATGCAACAATAATGGAATTCCATAGATATATATATAATAGTGTGTGTATAAATAAATAAATAAATAAATAAATAAATATATATATATATATATATATATATATATATATATATATATATATATATATATATATATATATATATATATATATATATACTCATACTCTCGATAATAATAATAATACTTTTCTACCGAGGACCTCAATCATATTACATCATATCTCATGATTCTCTTTTTCTCATCTTTCTCGATCTTTCTCAATCTTTCTCATGATTCTTTTTTCTTTTCTTTCTTTCAAATCTGGGCATGCGAGGCAGCTACTCCGCCGCGGCGAAGCCCAAGCGAACGGTGTTTCCAACACAACCGCCGCATTCGTACCAACGGAACCTTGACTCATGGGGAGATAGGAACTTCACGAATCGTGAACTGACCTATCCGGACTGGCAAATATCAGTCGGCCTAATCTCATCTCGCTCACAGAACTAGTACTCGTGGTTCTCAATCTCGGTGGAATCAGGTATCGCACATTCGGTGTACACACCCCCTAACCGGGATTCCAAGCCTAGCGGGTAGTATCCAACCTAGTAACTCGGAAATATCGACCAAGTTACTTCTAATATATCTGCCGGCCTTCTCTAACCGTATCTTTTCTTTTCTCATAACTTTCTCTTTTTTTTTTTTTTTTTTTTTTTTTTTTTTTTTTTCATCCGAAAGGACATATTCCAAACCAGAGCCTCCAAAACATAGTTTTTTCCTCACTTCATGTAAATAGCATATATATATATATATATATATATATATATATATATATATATATATATATATATATATATATATCATGCAACTTCTCTTTTTCATGATGAGAATCTAAATGACATGCATTCTTTTCAAAAGAGTATAAATATAGGTTTTCAAAATACGTATACGGGTTTTGAAAATAACCTAAGGCATTATATAAGCCATCTAATGTATGCAAAAGCTTTCAATTTGAAAACATAGGTTTTAGGTACAAAAGTTTATGAAGTAGTTACTCATGCTAATGAAACCATATGATCTTGTCAATCTCACTACTCATGAACTAGATAATGCAAATAGAGCATTTAATCAACTCATCTCATAACTAAAGTCCAAATCATGGTACTCAACTTTCATGCTCAAAGGTGCTCAATAAACACTTAGGAAAAATCATAAATCATGCTTGATTTGGAAAAGTGGATTTTGCTCACAAATCACATAGGCACATTTCATACAAGCGTGTCGTTACGAGCTCGAGTCTGAAACAACAAAATCGGCTGACCCTTAAAGGGCCCGGCCCTCTAGAATGACCTGGCAGGACTAGGTGGCGGACCATGAGAGACCCCGCCACTTGGCTCCGCTAATTCACGGCCATAGCTGAGTGGCGCGCGGGTCCTCTCAAGGACCGCCACTCGGGTCCGTTGGGCGATGCTTACCAACAAATCCCTTCGGGGTCCATTGGTAAGCCCCACACGGCTAAATAGCGAGCCCAAGCAGTGAGCTTGGGAAAGCTTCATCAAATGAACAATTCACTTAATTTCATATTTCAACACACTTTTAACACTTCTTCAAACAATCAAGATCAACAAGATAACAACACCAACCCATAATAAACACATAAACATGCATTCTTCATCATTTCTAAGCACCAAAATACCAACAACACATCAATATCATCAACAACAACACACTACCAAAATAATAGGTTTTGGGAGTCCATGGTTTATACCTTGAGCTTGCTAAGCCTTAGTGTGAATCCATCCTCTTCCTTAACCAATGTTTCCACCTTCACCTCCTAATATCCCCAACAAGAACACATAAAACATACATCATACACACATACACAAGTATACACTATTTACTAAAAGAGATGGATTAGAAGAGGATGGAAGATGAAAATACTTGAAGGAAGATGAAGGAAAATGAATGATGATGGAGGGAAAGATGATTAGCTTACAAAATGTTTCTTCTTCTTCTTAGAGAAATTCTAGAACTTGGGAATGAAAGAGGCAAATGGGAGGGATTGGGTTATTGACAATGGAATAGTAAAGATTATATAGGTAGGGCTCTAAACCGTAGGCAGAAAAGATTATGGGAATTCGGCCATGTGAGGGCCATTTTGGTCATTTCGCGATTAAAATTTCGGGTTATAATTTTGGGTCAAAAGTTGGGTCAAGTTAGGATAAAAATAGGTTTCTAAATTTTTAGGAATAAAATTGGTTCATTTGTAAGAATATTTCTAGGCCAAAACACTTGAATCAGTTTCACATGTTCTTCTCAGGTTCCACTCAGATTGACTTTTTGGGTCAAAACTTGGTACATAAAGATACCCAATGAATAGGATTTTTAAAATATATGAATATTTGATGTTGAATCATTTGAAATAAGGAATTTAAAATATTTAATTCATACACCCTTTAGAAAAATCATTGTAGGAGTAAAAATAATTTATTTGGTATTTTATAAAAATAGAATTTAAGGAAATATATTTTGTGCTGTCACACCACAGGCTCCTCAAATCACTCTATGGGTATAATCGATCCTACAGCATAGTCTGTTGGTGTCTCTGCAAGAAGAATTGGCGGGAGGGGAGCTCCCACCAGACCAGCTCGCGAGTATCGCGCGGGACCTTCCCGGGGAGGCACACTCCCACCAGATCAGCCCGCGAGTATCGCGCAGGACCTTCCCGTGGGAGGCACACTCCCGCCAGATCAGCCCGCGAGTACTGCGCGGGACCTTCCCGCGGGAGGCACACTCCTGCCAGATAAACCCATGGGTACTACTGTGCAGCATATTGACGCATCAACTTCTGTCGCCGCTCGACCCAGCTGGGGGCATTCGCGAGGTAAGATAGTAAAATCTACCACTCAGACACACATTATGGAGACTCGCAGTAGATCTCAAGCACCACCCACAGCTTTGAGTGTTGAGGTTTGTCTCCCAGATCCAACGTGTTACACTGAAGCAGTAAAATATCCAGAGTGGCGTGAGGCTATGGACCATGAATTCAATGCTCTTCTACAGAATCAAACGTGATGTCTTGTACCCTCTCGGGCAAATATGAATGTTGTTGGATGTAAGTGGGTATTCCGCACTAAACGAAAGGCAAATGATTCTATTGAGAGACACAAGGCATGATTAGTAGCAAAAAGATTCAACCAGGTGCTTGGACAAGATTTCTTTGATACGTTCAGCCCTGTAGTAAAACCCACTACTCGCTTCTTTCCTTGGTGTTATCTTCTGGTTTGGTTATTAGGAAACTTGATGTTTATAATGCTTTCTTAAATGGAAATATGTCTGAAATTAGTTATTTGAAGCAGCCACCTGGTTATATTGATGCTCAGTATCTCAATCATGTTTGCTTGCTTAAATTCTATTTTTATAATCTGATAGATAGATGTGTCTCTAATCTACTACTCACATGACTTTGCTTATGTGTATTTTTTTTTTCTATGTTGATGATATATTTGTGATGGGAAGTGATCACGATCTTGTGACTCGTTTGATAAAAGAGTTGGCTATTGCATTTAAGATTAGGGATCTTGGTGAACCTGATTTCTTTCTTGAGATTGAAAAAATTAAATGTGATGATGGTATTTTACTTTCGCAACAGAGATATATAAATGATATTTTGAAATGTGATGGATGACAGAATGTAAAGCATTGTCTACTCCTATCTATGTTTCAAAATCTATACCCTTCAATTCAGATTTATATGAAGATCCTACACAGTACAGAAGTCTGGCATGAGCACTACAGGATCTAACTATTATATGCCCAGATCTATCAGTCCCAATCAATCAATTGTGTTAACACATGCGTGCTCCTACAGTATCACATTGGGAACACCTAAAGCGAGTCTTGAGGTATGTAAAGGGAGCAGTTAATTTTGGTTTACGTATAAGAAAGTCAGCATCAAGAGAACTCCATGCATTTTCTGATTCTGACTGGGCTGGATGTCCTAAGGACCGTAAGTCCACGAGTGGTTTTGTTGTGTTTCTTGATCCAACCTTATCTCTTGGGTCTGTAAGAAACAAAGAACTGTTGCTAGATCTTCTATTGAGGCAGAACACAGAGCTCTAGCAGATATCTGTGCCGAAGTTACGTGGACAGTCTCCTTGCTGCATGAGATTAAAGTGTCAGGTATACCTGTTCCAAAATTATGGTGTGACAATCTTGGTGCTACTTATATGTGCGCAAATCCCATATTCCATGCTCGTACCAATCACGTAGAAATTGATTATCACTTCGTTCGAGATAAAGTTGATTCTGGAGACATTCAAGTTAATTTTATCTCAACAAAAGATCAACTTGCAGACATATTTACTAAAGCTTTACCTAGTCCTAGATTTTCTTTTCTTAGAGACAAGATACAGGTTACTAGTATACTATGTGTTTGAGGGGGAGTATTAGGACTCTTTGTATTTGAGTCACATTATGACTCTCTACCCTAATCTTCCTATGATTCTCTCTTGTATATATTCCCTCAATCTGTACAGTTGTAATAAATGTTCATCTAATACAATTTATACAGTTCTCATCAACCAATTCATGGTAGCTAATGAATACAAAAAGTTTTATTAATATGTCATGAGGTAATAAACATGAGGTTAAAATAGCATTATTGATTAATAGATATATCAATTAAAAGAAAATAAACTCAATGCCATGAATGAGTAAGTTGCCTTGAAATGAGTGGTCAAATGATTAGAGCATGATTTTTGTATCTAAATGTCAAGCGTTTAATTCTTGTCAACATCCTTTCAATTAAATATGTCACACAGGGTCTCCGTAATGTGATTTATCTCTCCAGTATGGCGTATAATTTGCATACAATAGTTAATTAACTCATCATAAAAGCAAAATGAATGAGAAAGTCCAAGGAAAGTGGATGATATGAATGCAGCAAATTATTGTGTGGATCAAGGTTCAAAATGAAGTCGTTTTGATGTTTAAAAAAAATTTACTTGTTTCGTGTGCATGTTAGAATAATGAACATTTTAGGGTAAGATATTGTATTTTATAAGTTAGAATAATGTAATTTATGTGTTAGAATAATATACTTTATATGTGTTAAAATAATGAAATTTCTTATTTAAGATATTGTATTTTATAAGTTAGAATAATGCATAATATACTTTATGTGTTAAAATAATGAAATTTCTAGGATAAGATAATGTATTTTATGAGTTAAAATAATGTATTTTATCTGTTAGCATAATGTATTTTATGAGTTGAATAATTTACTTTAGTTTTTGGACCGTAGTTTACACAGCTGTGTGGACCACGATCCACGCAATAATGATTGATGAATGCATGTACCAATCGTTATACCCTGCAGCACGGCGCACATTGCACTGTGCACCCCGCGCCTCCCAAAACGACGTCGTTTTGGGAGGCGCAGTAGAAAGTTGACATGATTATGTATATTTGTTTATACAATTATGTATATTTTTTATTATGTACATTTTTTATACAATTATGTACATTTTTTTTATACATTATGTACATCCGAATCAGGAAATTTTTGTGTATTATGTTAAGAGTTGATGTGTATTATGTTAAAAGTTTATGTTTATTATTGTTGAGCATATAGCCATTAATGTGCAATCCAACTATCAGCTTAGGCTTTTAGTTGAGATGGAGTGTGTATTATCTTTTAAAAAGAGTATGTGTATTTTGTTATATAATTATGTACATTCATGTATACAATTATGTGTATTCTAGTATAACATTATGTTCACTTTTGAACATACATGAGATTTTTTAAAGGAAAATTAACTGCCAAACACTGGGTAGCGAAATTTAAAAAAAAAAAAATTAAAACAACGTCATTTTGCATCTAGGCGCACAATGCAATGCGCGTCGTGGTGCAGGATATAAATTGGCCGCATGTACTATCAAGAAAAACAAAACAAATAATGGATTGGAACAAAGTCATTCATGGAGTTTATCCATAAGAGTTGAGTATATATTAATTATTATTAAAACCCATCTCCCAAATTACTAAAAATTGATGCAAAAATAAATTTATTTTCGAAGTATAATATTAGGAAACCGACAGCTTTTGAGCATATATGTCTGTCTGTAGGGCACATTTGGCATCATAACCTTAGCAACTTGCATAAATTATCAATTTGATGACTAGGGCAAATAAACCCTTCTGGGGTAGAATACAGATTTTTTTATTTTTTATTTTTTATTTTTTGTTTTTTAGTTTTTTGATTTTTGTTTTTTTTTTTTGTTTTTTGTTTTTTTTTTTTGTTTGTTTTTTTTTTGTTTTTGACAGAATTGAGATTGTTTAGAAATTAGTAAAAAAAAAAAAATGGTTAAAATGTAGATAGATAAAGTTGGGTCAATTTTTAATAATGAGAAAAATACCAACATGTCATGCGCAATTACATAAAATAAGATAGAAATATATCAACATCAATTACATTTGCAAAGAGTAATAGATGAATACCATCGAGAGTCACATAAATAACTTACCATTTAAGTTTGTTTAAAAAATAGAAAAGAGAAATTAGTCAATCCGTCTCATCGTTTTGTTTTGTTTTTTTTTTTTAATTTACACAAATAAATACTACATAGTAAGAAATTCTTGCGATATATTTTTTGCTGGCTAGACAAATCTCAAATGTCGTTATGTGTGTTTTAACTAGTTAGCTACCAAATAAAAAATTAAAGGGATGTTGAGTAAATAGTAAATAGTTAAGAGCTGATATTTAATTGTATTAGCATGTAGTATTAGTAATTTGTAAGAAAGTATTTTGTAATTAAAATACATAATGTCACATTAGATTTGTTTTGTCGAAAAAATTAGTTTTACTAATAAATAAATATTTGAGTGCAAGACTATGTGGTCTAATGGTACCTGGGTTGGACTTTTATTTAGAAGATTATGAGTTCGAGCCTAAGTGGAGGCGTTATTGATTCTTTGTGTTTCAGTAGGTTGAGAAAGTATATGAACAGATACTACAATGTAATAGCTAAGTTTAGCTTATTTGACCATTATTAGCTGTTTGATGTGGAGGGTTCAAGTTTAGCTTATTTGACCATTATTAGCTGTATATGCACTGCAGTTTTATTTCAACACAACTACAGTTTCGGTGGACAATATACACTCAAATAGTGAAATTGCTATTCAGTTTCATTTTGTATACACTGCAGTTTCATTTCAATTCAATTGCAATTTTATTTGATAATATAATAAAAAATAATACCTGAGAAAGTGTTAGTTTAGATACACTATAGTGTCTGCCGTTTTGGACCATGGTCCACAAAGCTTTGTGGACCGCGGTCCAGAGTATAATTGCTGCAATCTGACCAACACTTTGCCCCTTAATTGGGCCGACTCGATGCGAATGTGAATTAGTCTAGTATGGTACGGGCTTAAAGGTACCTCCTATAGTTAGGGTTTGCTCCGGACACCTTATAGTTTGACCATAAAAAAAAATGAGTGTGATTAATTAATTTATTGCTCTAAAATGCTAAAATTTAAAAAGCTGTTCAAAGTAGTTTTTTGAAAAAGTCATTTTGCATGTATCAACTAACAGTTAATTTATCAAATATTTTTTCTACATTCAACAAATTCACTAATACAATCAGTTAACAGTTATTTACTAAACACCCCAAAGTCTCTCGTTCCCGAGCTCCACAGAAGATATTGGGGTGGAATAAATAAATACGTACTTAACCACACAAGTAGCTCCTTTAGGGATGGCAATTTCAATCCGCCCCGCGGATGTTCACCCGAATCCACCCCGCATGGATCGGGTTTTTTTGGGTGATGGTGAGCGGTGGGTCGGGGGTGGGTCTTAAAAAAGTAAACCCGCGGTGGGTCAGGTTGAATTCGGGTTTTATGTACAAAACCCGCTTAGAACCCCACTCGACCCACCATGTGTGTGTGCGTGTGTGTGTGTGTGTGTGTGTGTGTGTATATATATATATATATATATATATATATATATATATATATATATATATATATATAATAGTAAAATAAGTACTAGTATGTAGTTAGTTATAAAAGTTTATATAATTTCGTATATCTTTTTACTATTTTTATATCTAAACTACTAAGTTCATTTTTAAAAATTAATAATTTAGTTATTATATTTAAATATTTCTATTATTTTATGTTTTAGTATCACTAATGAATTTTATTATTTTATTATGTGTAAGTAATTTAAATATTTTTCTTGAAAAAAATAATAAATGATAAGTGGTGGGTACCCGTAGTGGACACCCACATCCGGTGGGGATGGGGGTGAATTTTTTCAATACAGATTAAGGGTAAGAGTAGGTAGAGAAAATATATAGTGGGTCAAGTGATGAATGTAACATTCTCCGACCCATTGCCATCCCTAATCTCCTTGCATCTGATCTGATAGCATAACAAACATTTAAGTTCAAACAAAAAAATAATGATTAATAAATAGTATTAAAACCAATTAAATGCCATGCATCATTGAGATAAGCACAGTGCGTCATACGTCGTCGTTGCTTGTTTTATCTGGTTCCGACTTCCGATGTCGTATGGTAGATATTTTGGAGGGCTTTATTTTAAGATTTTAAGTCAGTAGGGACCTACAATTAATTTAAATCACCCAACAAATATTACGCCCCCAAATTCACATCCTAATATTCTTTTCTTATTTAATTAATTAATAAATAAATTCATTTTTAAGGTTGGTGAGGCCAACCAAAGAATTGTACAATTATTAGTGGTTCGTACAGATGTATAAATCATACAATTAAATGACGTACATTTAATATACAAATAATGTATTTTTAGTATATTAAAATATGTGTTGTATTTAGAAAAAGTACATTATTTAAGTACTAAAAGTACATTATTTTATATAATGTATATATTTAGTACACAAATAATATACTTTTAATATATTATCTTCATCGTCAGTACATGTCTTCTTTTTTTATTTTTATTGGTAGTGTGTCATGTGCAATTGGGTTACTGGTGGTATATCACAGATTGATTCGTCGTGCAATGAGATTATGGTGTAGGAAGCTTTAGATTTGCCTTTGTTGTGTATATGATAGGATCTTAGTTGTACTATTAACTCTTTATCATACAAGCATCTATTGATATTTGGTAGTTGTAGTTTTTCTCCTACATGTTTCATGCGTTGTGAGATGTGTGTCGTAAGTTATGATGTGAAAGTATTGAACAAAATATTAATATTTATTATATTTGTATAAAATACTTGGTAAATAAATATATATAACATATTTTGTATTATAACTTTGATATTTAATTACAAGATAATGTAAAAAGAAGACAGTAGACAATATAGTAATATAATAAATTAATAAATATGAAGGTAATGAATCTTTGAATTATAGAAATAAAGATAATATAAATAATGAAATTATATCTCTTTTAAAAATTTTTATAATGAATAATTTTTTAAATAAAGGCATTATAGACATCTAATTCTAAATTAATTAAATGCATATGTATTATTTTTTGTTGTAGCTACTAATTTATTTAATTTAATAAAAATAATAAATTGGCGTACATACTTTTCATCAACAATAATTAAATCATTGATTTTTTTTTTTAATTTACATTCGTTGTTGAGACAAATTGTTTTGAAAGTTTGCCAATGACAATTGTTACAATTATTGTCAATAGAGGATGATAATAGATAATTCAAAATATATAGTTGCAATAGATATTGTTATAATGACATAGTAAAAATTAACTTATAAATTTCTTTTGAAGTTAATTCTTATGTGTAGACTTGTTCAATTGGAGCCAGTAGGATGTCAATACTGTCACTTATTTGGAAAATAGTCATATCGTTTTAGAGTCCAGGTGTAATTGTATTTATGATCAACAACTTTGTACATAGGTCGCGCATGTCTGACAATGATGTAAGAACAATTTTGTCTGATAAAAAAATAATAGTATAATATTTGTAAAGTAATGTACAATTGTACCATTATAAAAATACATAAAAAAAAATATTAACACCATAACGACCTAAATCATACCAATAATGCAAAAATATAATTAAAATATTTAGTTTTGTTCTGATCTAAATAATCAAAGAAGATTAATTATTAAACGGAAAAAAAAAAACAAAACTTAACCTAAATTTGTTTTTTTTTTAATGCATAAAAATCAAATGATTTTTAAAGTTCTTGATTTATAATCTTTGATGCTTAACTTTGAATGTTATGTATTTAGTCGGACTAATTATTAGACCAAAGTTTAGGTTAAATTTTATATTATATATATTTTTAATACATTTTAACATATTTGTAGTATATGTTTAACAATTATTCCAACTCTAATTGTGATAAGGTTCGAACATAAGACCTTTCTTATATAAATTAATGAGTTAGTTAAAAATAATAAATAGTTAAAGGAAAATTCCGTTACAAAAGTTTATACTAATGGAATTTAGGTTATTTAAGGGAAGAAAATAATATAATAGAGGGTAAATAAGGAAAATCATTAAAAAATACTAAAATCAAAATAATATGAATCATTCATTTTAAGAAATAATAGTACCAACATTTTTTTTATTTCAGGTAAGGGCCTAACATTATTGACTCTTATTAGAATTGTATGTATTATATGTATTGTATGTATGTAGATGTAGAGGTAGATATATTCTCTCTTATTTATATATATATAAAAAAAAAGTAGGGTACTCTTAACAAATTCTATGCCTTGTGACACCACTTCTTGATGGCTGTCCACTAATGGAAGCACCCCTGCATTTTCGACTTTGAAATTTCAAATTCCAACTAATACATCCATGGATGGCTACATGTGATTGACGTTCAAACATATTAAACACAAGTATAATAGACGAAATTGAAAATTATAAAGTATTGTTTAAGAAAATAAGTAAATAAAAAAAAAAGTTAGATTAACCAAGGAATGCTAAATAGGACTTAAAAAATGAGAAAGAAAAATGCTACTCCGTATTTTTTTTCTTGATTTTACCTTAGAATGCATACCTCGTGATGTCGTAACAAAAAAAAAAAAAAAAAAAAAAAAACTTTTTATATCCCTTGACTACTCGTTAATTTCTTGACCTCATTTTACATTAGGAAAAAAAAAATGAATACAATAGTACATCTATTAAGTTTTTTTTTTTTTTTTTTTTTTTTTTTTTTTTTTTTTTTTTTTTGTTTTAATTTATAGAAAAGTGATACCTTAGCTTATTATTACATTAAATGCCTCCACTAAGGCTTAAACTTATCACCTCCCACATAAGGGCGCAACGTGATACCATTAAACTACAAGGTTCTTGATATTATATTTATTAAATTATTCAAAGCAATTCAAAATTTCAATTTTACCTAAGATATTAAATATCTAATATTATTCAATAGAATACAATAATAATACTTTTGCACCGTTTAAATTCCAATACATTTTTTTTTATTAATGCTACCTTATTTATGCTTATATTTAAGATTTTACTCATTTGATTTTGAATTTATTCAACTAATTATAATTATTTTCCATTTTATCAATTGATTGTTATTTTTTGGACATATTATTATATTGTATTTGTTATTTTTATGCATATTAAATTATTAATACATGCTCCGTATAATAACTACAACACACATATATACATAGTATTTAAAAAAAAAATTGGGCGAGGAGTCGAATCCCCACCAACGACAAATACGGTCCACACAGCTGTGTGAATATCGGTACAAAACGACATCGTTAAATTTTATGAGTTAGAATAATGTACATTATGTGTTAGAATAATGTACATTATGTGTTAGAATAATGTACATTATGTGTTAGAATAATGTACTTTATGTGTTAGAATAATGTACATTATGTGTAAAATAATATACTTTATGTGTTAGAATAATGTACATTATGTGTTAAAATAATGAAACTCCTAGGGTAAGATAATGTACTTTATGAGTTAGAACAATGTCTAACAACAACAATGGACATTTTTGACTTTATACTATTCTATTCCTGTAAATCAAACACTGAAATTTAAATTCTCACTTTATTCTCAGTAATTCATCTCCCATGAAATTGCAATTAATTTCTTCATAATTCCCCCTCTCCAACCAAACGCTCTGTGAATCCTTATTTGATAAAAACATGATAAATGTTTTAATGACATATATTTCCAATAGGAAACGAATGGGGTGTTTGGTTGGATGGAAATCAAATTCCATAGAAAAGATTTTCCATGAAATGTAGGAAAATGTTGTTTTACCTTGTTTGGTTGGATGGAAAAATATTTTTCATGGGAATTTGACTTCCTAAAGGTGAAGGAAAAGAAAATCCTACCTAAACATTGATATTTTGTTTTCCGGATGAGTTGGAAAGAAAATATAGTAATATTGGACTATTTTGCCCTCATCAAAATTTATTAACTACACA